TACGAGCTCCTTGAAGACAATTACTTTCGCACCAACCTAATAATTTAACATCCATGCTAACCCAGTTCCATCCCAAACCTCCTTTTCCTATTAGGAGCCTGACAGTATTCAAGTATCTGCCCTCTTTCACATGGTCACATGCTTCACTCAAGGGAGGCCCCCACTTAAGACCAGTAGGTTAAGCATGACATTCAAAAGAAATCACGGACACTCGTTTTCCAGTGGTGCTGAGGTGGGCACGCAAAGCCACTCTGGCAAATGTGATGAAAGAAAAGTCTGCTGGGGAGCTTCTGAGAAAGGTTTCCTTCCCCCAAGTGAAAGGCACAAGAAGATACTCTCCTTCCCTGGACATTGCCTTAACTACTACTGGATTTATTTGAGACACTAGATTTCCTTGGAGAACTTTAGGTCATTTGAGTCAGTTTCCAATTACTCTTAGAAGCATCCTAATATGCACACAGAAAAAGTGGTGGAGTTGTGACTCAAAAACACAGACAAGGTGATTTCACAGACCTTAAAAATGTAACAACCATAGATAACAGATAACATCTGACTGAATGAGGAAAAGCTTTCAGCTTTTTTTTTTTTTTTTTTTTGAGATGGAGTCTTGCTCTGTCACCCAGGCTGGAGTGCAGTGCCATGATCTTGGCTCACTGCAACTTCTGCCTCCGGGTTTAAGCAATTCTCCTGCCTCAGCCTCCCGAGAAGCTGGGATTACAGGCGTGTGCCACCATGCCCGGCTAATTTTTGTATTTTTAGTAGAGATGGGGTTTCACCATGTTGGCCAGGCTAGTCTCGAACTCCTGACCTCATGATCTGCCTGCCTCAGCCGCCCAAAGTGCTGGGATTACAGGCATGAGCCATCGCACCCAGCCCGCTTTCGGCTTTTAAGAACTAACAGTATAAATATGCCCACTCTCACCCTCTTATTCAACATAGTACTGGAAGTCCTTCCCAGAGCAATTAGGCAAGAGAAGAAATAAAAGGCATCCAAATTGGAAAGAGTAGGTAAAATTGTCCCTATTTGCAGATGACATAATCTCATATACAGAAAAACCTAAAGATTCTACCAAAAAACTCTTACCACTGATGACCGAAATCAGTAGTTACAGGATACAAAATATACAAAAATGAGCAGCATTTCTATACACCAAACAACAAACTAGCTAAAAAAGAAATCAAGAAGGCAATTCCGGCAGGGCACAGTGGCTCACGCCTATAATCCCAGCACTTCGGGAGGCCAAGGCGAGTGGATCACCAGAGGTCACGAGTTCGAAACCAGCCTGGCCAATGTGGTGAAACCCCGTCTCTACTAAAAATACAAAAATTAGCCGGGTATGGTGGTGCACGCCTACAGTCCCAGATACTCGGGAAGCTGAGACAGGACAATCGCTTGAACCCAGGAGGCGGAGGTTGCAGTGAGCTGAGATTATGCCACTGCACTCCAGCCTGGGCAAAAAAGCAAGACTCCGTCTCCAAAAAACAAAAGAAGAAGGAGGCAACTCCATTTATGACAGCTACCAAAAATAAAATACCTAGGAATAAATTTAACCAAGGAGATGAAAGACCTCTACAAGGAGATGAAAGACCTCTACAAGGAAAACTATAAAACACTGATAAAAGAAACTGAAGAGGATACAAACAAATAGAAAGACATCACATGCTCATGGATTGGAGGAATTAATATAGTTAAAATGACAATAGCAATCTACAGATTGAATGCCATTCTACCAAAATATCAATGACATTCTTCACAGAAATAGAAAAAAAAGTCCCAAAATTTGTATGGAACCACAAAAGACCCTGAATAGCCACAGCAACCCTGAGCAAAAAGAACAAAGCTAGAGGCATCACACTAACAGACCTCAAAGTAAACTACAAAGCTGTAATAACCAAAACAACCTGGTACTGTCATAAAAACAGACACATAGGCCAATGGAACAAAACAGGGAACACAGAAATTAATCCAGGTATCTACGGCCAACTGACTTTTGACAAAGGTACCAAGAACACTCACTGGGGAAAGGCCAGTCTCTTCAATAAATGATACTGGGGAAACTGGATATCTAGACGCAGAAGAATAAACTAGATCCCCATCTCTCACCCTATACAAAATCAAGTGTAAATGGATCAAAGACCTAAATGTAAGACTCAAAACAATAAAACTACTAGATGAAAACATTTAAGAAATGTTTCAGGACATTAGTCTGGGAAAATACTTTATAAGTAAGACCTCAAAAGCACAAGAAACAAAACCAAAAATGAACAAATGGGATTATATTAACTAAAAAGCTTCAGGGCAACCAAGAAACAACAAGGTAAAAAGACAAGCTACAGAATGGGAGAAGATATTTGCAAATTACTCCTCTGACAGGAGATTTTTTTTTTTTGAAGCCAGTTAAATTTAGCAGTGGGGAGTCATATACCAACTTTAGTGACACTATGTTAAATTCTGATAACTCATTACCATTGGACCAGCCAGACGGGGGTTAATATCTAGAATAAACAAGGAACTCAAATATCTCAACAGAAAAAAATACATATATCCAATTTTTAAAATCGACAAATAATCTGAACAGACATTTCTCAAAGAAAGACATACCAATGACCAACAAATACATGAAAAAATGTTCGACATCACTAATCATGAGGGAAATGCAAATCAAAACCACACTGAGGTATCATCTCACCCCTGTTAGGTTGGCTATTATCAAAAAGACAAAAAATAATAAATGCCAATGAGGATGCAGCATTTATTATTTTCCAACTGTTGGTGGGAAAGTAAACTAGAACAGCCACTATGGAAAACAGTATGGAAGTTCCTTAAAAAACTATGAACAGAACTACCATAGTATCCAGCAATCCCACTAGTGGGAATTTATCCAAATGAAAAGAAATCAGAATATGGAAGAGATATCTGCTCCCCCATGTTCACTGCAGCACTATTCACAACAGCAAAGAATGAACCTACATGTCCAACAACAGAGAATGGATAAAGAAAATACGGTATATATATTCAATGGAGTATTATTCAGCCATGAAAAAGAATAAAATCCTGTCCTTCACAGCCAACATGGATGGAACTAGAGGGCATTATGTTAAGTGAAATAAGCCAGGAACAGAAAGCTAAACACCACATGTTCTCACTCATATGTGAAGCTAAATAAAAGTTGATCGCATACGTTAAAAGCAGAAGAGAGGATAGCAGAGGCTGGGAAGGATAGGAGGAAGAGAGGAGTAGGAAGAGATTTGTTAAAGAATACAAAATTACAGCTAGACAGGAGGAATAACTTCTGGTGTTATATACCACTGTAGGATGACTAGAGTTAACAGTAATATAGTTTCAATTAGCTAGAAGGAGGATATTAAACGTTCCCAACACAAAGAAATGATAAATGTTTGAGATGATGGATATACTAATTAACCTGACCTGATCACTACAAATTATATTCATCAAAACATCATTAGGTATCCCACGAGTATGTAAAATTATTTGTCAATTTTTACAAATAACTTTTAAGAAAGAACAAAATTGTAGTGACTAGACTCTATCACCTCTCATCTCTTTTAACACTCCCACCATCCAGCACCAATGCGAAACACGTTAAGAAGCAACCGATAATTTCAGCTAAGTGAATAAACAGATGAATGAAATAGAATTTTAGCCAGAGTTTTAAGACAGGTAGGATAGGCTGGGCGCGGTGGCACAGGCCTATAATCCCAGCATTTTGGGACGAGGAGGCGGGTGGCTTACTTGAGGCCAGGAGTTCAAGATCAGCCTGGGCAACATGGCAAAACCTTGTCTGTACAAAAATATAAAAATTAGCTGGGCATGGGGGTGCATGTCTGTAGTCCCAGCTACTTGAGAGGCTGAAGTGGGAGGACTGCTTGAGCCCAGTAGGTGGAGGTTGCAGTCAGCCGAGATAGAGCCACTGCACTCCAGCCTGGGTGACAGAGCAAGACTCAGTCTCGAAAATAAATATATGAAGACAGGTAGGATAAATGTTATATCCAGTGATAAGTGAAGTATTAGGGCCATAGGTAACGTATTTAGAAAACAGAGTACATACCACAGCAAAGGAGTCCTGTGACTTTTTAAGTCCAAACCAATCTCAAAAGATTGAGTCAATGAAAACAGCACAAAATATTCTATTTCTGTAAGCCCCTTCAACAACGTCTATAGCACCTATTAGCAGTCGTGCAAGCTTTCCACTCTTCCTTCCATCTCAATCTTGACCCAAAGGGGCCACCCTCTAGGGAAATGAAAAGAGAGAGTAAGGGGATGGGGATAGGGGAGGAAGCAGAGAGAGGAACACCACCTCTTCAGCACTTCAAGTTCAATCTAGTTTTCATTCACAAAAACTGTCTTTGAAAGGTAAAATGGTCAACCTTCACAACTCATTTGACCCATGGGACCTGGCCCCCACCCCCAGCCCCTGCCAAGGTCACATGAACAGCCTTGACCTTTATATCCTGAAGGATATCCTCTAGGCCATTACACACAGGTCACAGAAAAGTCCTTGACAACCTATTTCTGTCCAGGTACCTGGGCCAGCTTCACAACAGTGACCTGAAGGTAAAATGCTCCACACCCTATTACCAATTCAATCCCCCAGAGAAAATCAGTGAAGACATTTGTTATTTATAAAGGGCAACTCACCAAGGTCTCAGGACCTATTTGCTGCAAAACACAATATACACATTAACTTCAAGGCTACAAATGCTTGCCAACTTTCCAGCAAAAATAAGCCTCCCCTTATCTGTTCACTTGACCTTCTGTCAAAGTGCTAAAGGGTAAGAATTTTTTGATCTTCAATGAGTATCAAAGAAAACTCTACCTTCTCCAGAATGAAACAACCCAAGGCCACAATCTGATTGAGTATCTTACTGGAAACCAAGGAAGCATGCTGACTGCTTACAAGGCATTTTTATAAGGGTCAATTTTGATCTACCAATGCAGCCCAGCCACCTCCAAAAGTGCCTTCTAAAGCACAGCTTACCTTGTAATTGCTAGAGTTCACCCAAGAGGTAGCAAGTCCATCCACAAGTTTATCTAACATGGTCTGGTCATGCTCAAGGTCAGCAGACTTCTGTTTGTCTGAGAAATAGTCTATCAATTCTTGGCCAACCTGCAATCGTTTCCCCACATCCTTCTGCAACACCTGCGCCAGGCAGGACTCCATGCGAGGCTCCATAGTGGAATTCAAATCCAGATCCAGCAAAAGCTAGAGGGCAGTCAGGATGACTCCCTCCCAGCAGACGTATCGGGGAGGTTGCCTCTTTGTTCGCTGAAGGTTACTAAGAGCCTGTGTTTCAAAGATGCAATCTGGGGAATGGCAACAATGCACCATGTGTGTCTGAAGAGCAGCTGGTAGGATATTAAAAGTCCAATTTAAATAACTAGTAGGAGATAAAGGAGTGAGTGGCAGAGTGATGTTCTACTATTGGGTCTGAAATACTTCATAATTCAGCAGTCCATTCTGAAAAGTAAGAGAAGAGAACGACAAATTAGCACAGATAACACAACACTGAAATGTTACGAAACATTAAATCAAAGACAAAGCAATTCATGCTGCAGAAGCATTTATAGTCACAAGCAGAGTGAGAAGCACGAACGGCTTGGCAACCATATCGGAATAACATAATTATTATTTTTATCAGGAAGAACATCGAAGCCCAAAGAAGAGCCAATGAGCCACACAGTTGGCGGGTCGATGTTTTCCACAGTTTCCCAGCTTGTAAATGCACCAGTCAGGAAAGCAATCTTCTGCTTTAGCTAGAGTATTTATTTGTAACTTCAATTCTATTTCCCACCAGAAATCTAACACCACTCTGTGTCTGAATCACTGTAGGTACTGCAGCTTACTGCCTTACTCTCAGTCTTCTTAAAAAAAAAAAAAACCAAGTATGGGAAATGAGGAAGGCTCCACAGAAAACACTGTTGACCAAAGTGGCTGGCTCGGTCACATTAAACAAAGTCAAGGGCAGCACCTACATCACACTACTTTACAATGGAGTAAGTGGTAGTCTCCACCTCCTCCTCCCTACAACAAAGAAAAGAAAGACACAAAAAGAGAAAGGAGGTGGGCGCAGTGGCTCACGCCTGTAATCCCAACACTTTGGGAGGCCGGGGCAGGCAGATCATTTGAGGTCAGGAGTTCAAGACCAGCCTGACCAACATGGTGAAATCCCGTCTCTACTAAAAATACAAAAATCAGCTGGGCATGGTGGCAGTGCCTGTAGTCCCAGCTACTCAGGAGGCTGAGGCAGGAGAATTGCTTGAACCCAGGAGGCGGAGCTTGCAGTAAGCCAAGATCGCGCCATTATATTCTAGCCTGGGTGACAGAGCACAACTCCGTCTCAAAAAAAAAAAAAAGGCTGGGCACGGTGGCTCACACCTGTAATCCCAGCACTTTGGGAGGCCGAGGCAGGTCAGGAGTTCAAGACCAGCCTGGTCAACATGGTGAAATCCCATCTCTACTAAAAATATAAAAACTAGCCGGGCGTGGTGGTAGACACCTGTAATCCCAGCTACTCGGGAGGCTGAGGCAGGAGTATTGCTTGAACCCAGGAGACGGAGGTTGCAGTAAGCCGACACAGTGAAACTGCACTCCACCCTGGGTGACAGAGCAAGACTCTGTCTCAATAAAAAAAGAGAAAGGCAACAGGCTCATATTCTGATCAGTTATTGACAGTATTCTCGGCTAACAATAGCACCATTTGGGCCTAGTGTTTTGATATTAAAATTAGGAGATCGCAAAATCATGTTTGAGTAGGGCAAAGTACATGATATGGGAAAAGTACCCAAAACTGTTTTAACTACACAAATTGCATAAGCTCTCTTGTTAACCTACAGCTGCTGGAGCATTGTACACATTTATTTCTTACTTATCCTAAAACCATTACTTAATTCCTTTCATTTTAAACCAAGAAGACCCATAGGAAACCTATCTTCAAGATTTAGTACCTCCCTGATACTGTGCCAAATTGAAGTTTTTTTCACACCAATAGTAAGTCCCAACTTTCAAAGTTTCCAGAAAATATATCTTTGTTTTCTAAATAAAGTAAAATTAAAATTCTCAGTAGAATAACTCACAGTCTGAACACAGCAATTCTCTCCCTTTCTAATACCACCCCATCCCCACCCCTCATCTCAACATAAAAACATTGAGATTCTTTCTGAGGTATGGAATCACATACATCAAGTCACTCAGTGAGGAAAACCCTCCTTCAAAGCCCCAGCACATAACTACCCATCTTCTACTTTACTGCTTCCAGTAACACAGAAGAGTGAGGGAGGGACAGCATTCAACAGGACTTAGTATCTCACAGAGCAATCCTTCCTTATATTGAGGAGAGATCTGCTTTCCAGTCACTTCCAAATGCTGGAACTAGTCCCTCCTTCACAGGAAAGAGCTTCAAAAGCAGCTATTATCCTTCATTCCAATTTTTAGTACAAATATGATACTTCCAGTTCCTTTATCATCTCTTACGTTGGACGAAAGAAGGTATCAACGACACGGGAAAGCTTAAGAAACCAAAAGGATTTCTTCCGGACCTAATATTAGTCCAAGAAGCAGACCAAATAAGCACCAGGCTGATGGTATATTAAAAATGGCCACAAATTCTTTGCTACTCCTCCCTCACCAAGGTGGAGTCCAGGTTCCCTCCTGCAGTGACTCTGGGCTTAACCCTGTGAAATCAGCAACTACAAAAGCAAGCAGAGACTTGCTATGCAAGCAATGGAACTTGCCCTCTTAGAATGCTGCCCTGGGATGGCCATGCTGTAAGGAAGCTGGTCTAGCCTGTCGGACATGAGAGGCCACGTGGGGAACCAACACGCTCTGACCAACAGCCAGCAGCAACTGCCAGACATGTGAGTGAGACCATCTGGGACCATCTACCCATTCCAGTCGTCATCCGACTGCAGTGATGCCAGTAAGTGTAAGGAAATAAGCAGAAAAGCCACCAAGCCAAACCACAGAATTATGAGAAATAACACTTCATTGCTGTTTTATTTAAGCCACTATATTCACAGCAGTTGGTTACACAGTAACAGATAACTGATATACTCCTTCTTCCCCTAAACAACTATCATTCATTTTCATTCATTCTCAATGAAAAACAATTTCATAGTGTTTACTCCTTCAAGGGGCCTAAAATGAACAGATACTAACCAATAATAATAATAATATAATAATAAAATTTAAGGAGCTACATGAGGTGTCAGGTTCTGTGCTTATGTAATACTGATTTATACAATACTATCTCTAATTCTTCAATTTTATAAAGTAGGTGTTAACATCCTTATTTATAGATTAAGAAATTGAGGTAAAGTAAAGGTAAGCAATTTTCCAAGGTTGCATGGACAATGAGTTTCCTTCCCCCACCTTGAAAACATTATTAGAAGTCTTAGCCTAATTCTGTTTTGACTCAAGAGGAGGTCAGATTTCCTGTTTAGCTAGGAAGCAACAGGCAAGAGAGCAAGGTCTCCATTCCTTAAGTAAACACTAGGAAAGATCCCATTTGTTCAGGTCTCCCTACCATGATTTATAAATATATATCATAAGAAAACCTCCCCTTCAACTAGAAATGAATAAGATTTCTAACAAATAAGCTTATGGTTCTTGAACGTAATTATGCAACAAAGGCTTAGTACACTCAGAAATAGGTCACAAATTCCTATGAACGAAATGCAAACAATGAAAGAGACTGGAAGCCCCTAGGCTTTCAGCAGATTGAATTCTCTCTTCTTTTTCTTCCTAATTTACAACAAGGTAACTATTATCTCTTACACTTATTCTTACTAAACTGAGGTTTTTGAACTTTTTTAATGCTTTTGTGTGTTTTCTACATCTCTACTTTCAGGGAATATTAATCACATAGTTCCAAATTCACAAGGTACAAAAGTGCAAGACCTGCCTTCCACCCCTGACCCTCCCAGCCACCCAGTGTCTCTCCTTAAAAGCAAGTAATGGCCGGGCACAGTGGCTCACGCCTGTAATCTCAGCACTTTGGGAGGTCGAGGTGGGTGGATCACGAGGTCAGGAGATGGAAACCAACCTGGCCAACATGGTGAAACCCCGTCTCTCCTAAAAATACAAAAATTAGCTGGGCATGGTGGCACGTGCCTGTAATCCCAGCTACTCGGGAGGCTGAGGCAGGAGAATCCTTGAAGCAGGAGTCAGAGGTTGCAGTGAGCTGAGATCACACCACTGCCCTCCAGCCTGGAAACTCAAAAAATAAATAAATAAGGCCAGGTGCGGTGGCTCACGCCTGTAATCCCAGCACTTTAGGAGGCCGAGGTGGGCAGATCACGAGGTCAGGAGATCGAGACCATCCTGGCTAACACGGTGAAACCCCGTCTCTGCTAAAGAATACAAAACCTTAGCAGGGTGTAGTGGCGAGCACCTATAGTCCCAGCTACTCGGGAGGCTGAGGCAGGAGAATCGCTTGAAGCAGGGAGTCAGAGGTTGCAGTGAGCCGAGATCATGCCACTGCACTCCAGCCTGGCATCTCAAAAAATAAATAAATAAGGCCAGGCGCGGTGGCTCACGCCTGTAATCCCAGCACTTTAGGAGGCCAAGGCGGGCGGATTACGAGGTCAGGAGATCGAGACCATCCTGGCTAACACGGTGAAACCCCGTCTCTACTAAAGAATACAAAAAATTAGCCGGGCGTAGTGGCGAGCGCCTATAGTCCCAGCTACTTGGGAGGCTGAGGCAGGAGAACGGCGTGAACCCGGGAGGCGGAGGTTGCAGTGAGCCGAGATCCGGCCACTGCACTCCAGCCTGGGGGAGAGAGCAAGACTCTGTCTCAAAAAAATAAATTTAATTAATTAATTAATTAATTAATAATAAGCAAGTAATGTCACCAGTTTCCCATGTATCCTTTCAGAAATATTTTTAACTATCAAAACAAATAAATATATGTGTTCTCCTCCCTGTATCCTCTAGGAAGAGTTTTCTAAACATTTACAATTAAATCATAAAAAGAGAAATCAAAAAATAATTGTATTTTAAAATGCAGAAAACTTAGAAAATAAGAGGAAAAAAGAAAGACTTGGAGGAGTAAGAGAAGAAGGAGGAGGAGTTACAGGAGGAAGAGGAGCTGGAGGAGGAGGAGGAGAAGTTACAGGAGGAAGAGGAGCTTGAGGAGGAGGAGTTACAGGAGGAAGAAGAGCTGGAGGAGGAGGAGGATTTAGGAGAGGAAGAAGAACTGGGAGGAGGAGGAGGAGTTACAGGAGGAAAAGGAACTGGAGGAGGAGGAGTTGGAGGAGTTACAGGAGAAAGAAGAACTGGAGGAGTTGTTGGAGGAGTTACAGGAGAAACAGGAACTGGAGAAGGAGTTACAGGAGGAAGAGGAACTGGAGAAGAGGAGGAGGAGGAGGAGTTACGGGAGGAAGAGGAATTGGAGGAGGAGGAGGAGTTACAGGAGGAAGAGGAACTGGATGAGGAGTCGGAGGAGTTACAGGAGGAAG